AGATGTGTCGCAATGTCACCACAAAATACCTCGGTGGCTCCTGCTAACAAAGAACCTACTATGTGGATTTTTTTTTTTTTTTGTCAGAGATGGTGGAGTAAGCTTTCGGTACAGTGTGCCAAAAAGCTGCACAACTCCTCTGCTGTTAATGGGGCTCATGTGGCTAAATCCCTTCATTCCTTGCTGAAAACAAACCCCCTGCCCAGCAGCAGTTTCAGGTGAATATCAAAAAGCAGAGCTGGGATGAGATCACAGTGATCCTACAGTTGCCTATCCAGGGGCTTGCAGCAGGGCTGGATTGGTGGGAAGTGCATGCTGTGCTTTTGTGCAGCCAGGAATGCAAGTGAGGGAGGGTGCTGGAGGAGAAGAAATTCTTGACACCAGTCCTGGGCTCCAATAAAATGTAATTTGCCCAGGGATCACAGATTGGCAGAGAATTTTTAAAGCAACTTTTTAGTTTTTTTAATCAAAAGGTTAAAATCAACTTACGTGTTTCATCTGTATGCAATGTGTTGTTGGTTTAAGCTCTTATTTTACATCTTTTGTCATGTATTTGTCAGAATGGTATATTAAGCTCCCAGGACAAATCTCAGTACACATCTGTGCCTGTGCAGGAGCTTGGGGAGAACTCCAAAGACTGGTCAGTTACTGTTGACCAATCATCTATAAGTAGACAGTTCTGTTTCATAATTTTATCAAAATTTAGATTCTTTTCACAAAACTAAAATTTAATTTTTTTTTCTTCTCATGTGCTTGTACAGTTGGATTTACTTTTTATGTTTTCCACTCATGCAAAGACTCTGTAAACTGCAGTTCACATGATGACCTTCTTATATGTAAAATTAATCAGAAGTTGCAAGGATATGATAACATTTGAAATCAATGAAATGACTCATGCTTAAGTTAAGTGAATGCTTGCTTTTGCAAATATAAAATGGAGACTCAAGCAAGCCAACCAGGAATGAGGAGTACATTTCTTTTCCAACAAACAGTTCTTAAAAGTCAAGTGGACTTAGTGCTTAATTTCTGAGGCACTTCAAAGACCTTTACTTTTATGACTCGCTTAGAGTATCTAATAATTTTAATTTCACTTTGTGAAAAGGGAAGCTGGAGTTGCTTAGGTCCTACAAAGGAGATATAACTGTAACAGGAAATACATTTGGAAGGAGAAATGTCTCTTTTTGTGACAGGATTCATCTTTCTTTGCTTAAGTAGCAAGCATTATTTCAGAAAATGAGCTGAAACTTGTCTCCCACCACCATGATTTTCTGCTTACTGTGACCCAGTCCTAGTTATTTTTTCAAATGATAAAAAATCTGATGATAAGAATTCTTATGTGGAAACCAAGCCTTCCAAAATCTTGTTCATCAGGTTCAATTTGATGGGAGTTTAAACTGCAAGGTCCTATCCAAGCTCAGATCCGATGTTTTTTTTTGTTTGTTTGTTTGTGTGTGGGCTTTTTGTTTGTTTGTTTGTTGTTGTTGGGTTGATTGGATTTTTCCTGTGTGTTTGGAGATTTTTTTGGGGGTAGTGGGGGATTTGTTTGTTTGTTGTTGTTGTTTTTTGAATTTGGGCATAACTCTGTTTATTGATATTGCTCAATTTCAGTGCTGGTGTTTCTTTCCCTTGGATTAATGGCACAGGCATGAAGAAATATCAAAGTTCTCCATATACCAGACACTAGTGCCAATTCCTTAGGAAATGTGCCATTATTCCACTCACTGTTTATCTGGATAAGCCATGTGAATGGTGTTTAATTGAATAGCCCGTGTGGATGACCCAGCAGAGCACTCTGAGCCATGTGGAGACTGTTGTGGTGCAGGATGGTTGCAATTACCGTAAACTGCATCAGAAATCTTAACAAAATGCCACACTCAGGAGTTTCTGGTGATAAGAATCAAGGCAATTTGCACCACAAAGAAAGATTAGATGAAAGAAGATGCCAAAATGTGGCATGGAGGATCTGCTTTTTGACAGCTGTAAATTGAAACAATCTTCATCTTTGAGAAAAAATAGTGTAGCCTTCAACCTGCCAAGGAGCAGGAGCACATCACAACCCTCCCAAATGTGTGATGGATGCACAAACTGAGGGACACCACAAGAAATAGAGGAGAGGAAGCTTGAAATGCTGTTGGGTGCATTTCTTTAATAAAAATAAAGCTTTCCAAAACCTCAGTTTCATGATTCAGCATTTCTTTTGGCAGTGTAACAATTTAAAAGTAGGCTAAATAAGTTTGAGGGAATATGCTGGTAAGTTCAGGCCAGAGAGGGGGAAGTTTCTGGAAGTAATAGAAAAACCAAGACCCCTTCCACCCCCAATAATTGCAGTTTAATTGTTAGAATACATTTCACAAGCACACAATAATTATAATTTCAATGACACAACACCCTCACAATACCTCCTGAAGCAGGTATAATTGTGCTGATTTTCTGGGTGAATAAACCGACCCACTGTATTAAAATACTTTTACCAAGGCCTGCTCCAAAAAACAATGGGAGTCCAAAAAATATACTCTTTAACATAATTATGAGACAACAGGGACATGTATGAAGGAAGCAACTTAACTGAAAATTATATGTTTAGAGGCTGTGGCCAATTCTTGCTTTCCTTTGTTTTGAAAGTCGTAAGGTTTTTGCTGCTCAGCTTGAGAATAGTTAGTGGAAACTGTGGAAGCCCAGCAGTTTAGAAAAAAATGTGTCAGGAAGTGTTTTCACAGTTTTTATCAATTTTTTAATTTTTAAAAAAGTATTTATATAGCATTCAAATATTTTTTTGTGTAAGTTTTGCTAGTAAGTCAGTAGCATAGCCTCAGTAACTTGGTGACCATCAGGCAGCTACAAGACCAGGACTGTGTGTCTTGTGCATGTGCCAAGCATCAAATGGAATTTTGAGTGCCTTGTGCATGTCTCTTTCTTAGGAGTCAACCATAGATGTGCTCAGAGCTAGATCTTCCTGGAAGGGTCAGTGGAAATGTGTTACCAGGTGGGAAGGTCTTGCAGGAAACCTGGGCACCTGGTCTGTCCCAGAGAACTGGGCAAAGCCAGGTGGAGGGAATGGAGCAAGAATGGGGCACAGCATTTTAGTATCATCAAAGAGTCCATGTTTCTGAATTTGACACATCATCTATTAAGGCAAAATGCTTTCCTTTGTATTTTACTGCAATATTTTCAGAATATCCATCCTACTTTCTGTGGAAAGTGGATGAAGTCAGAGAGAGAAAAGCTCCATGACCTTTCAAAGAAAATAGCACTTTTACTTTTCAATATTGAAAAGTGTGTGATTAAAAAAAACCAAACATACTCATACTTTAATCTGTGCTTTTCATTAGCTTTTGAAGCCATAACATAAAGGTCATAAGTCACTGTAAAGAGAATCTTGTACCTCTATCAAACACAATACTTTTTTAAGATTATCACATCTCTTGGAAAGTCCTAATTTAAAGACACCACAATTTAAATTTAATATATTTTTTTTAATTTTAAAGAGTAGAAATACTTTTTTGCCTGAAAAAACACCTTAGCTGAAAACCTGCATGAATCTCAGGGACTCTCTAGTTCCAGTTGATGCTCCAGCTTTGTTGCTCAGCATCCAGAGGAACACAAATTAAAGCTGCAGGTCTGAGCACTCCTGCTCCTACACTGGGAGTGGTCAGACTGCAATTACCTTTTGTTCTTTCTTCTGCTTAATAGACAGAACAACAGGGCATGCATGTGCTGGGTGACACCTCATTTCTACATCCATAACCCCCCTCCGCCGCCATAAATCAAAACCCACAAGTGGTGAATTTCTCATGGATTGTTAACTTTGGAAAAGATGCAAAAATACCTACTAAAGGCAGAGTGGATCATCATGGAATTTCCATTCCACAGGAATAGCAGTTTTTCATTTTGGCTGGGGAAGAACTCTCAATTTCACCCTCCTTGCTCTGGCTTTACTGTATCTTATTGAAATGGCAAAATTCATTCTCTGATTTAATTGAAATGCAGCATTTATGCAATTTTGCAGTTACCTTGTGGTGGAGTTGACAAATTCTTACATCATTCTTTAATTTTGTTTAGTCAGCATTTCCCCAAGGGAGCATTTCCAGTGGGAAATTTTTAACACTAAGGTCAAAGGCCTAGGCTGGCATTCAAGGGGGGAAGGAGGATCATGGGGCAGTCAGTCTGCTTGTCCAGAGCCATCTCCATGGGCCTGGCAGGTAGATGTGACCAGAGGCATCACTGAATGTGTACCCACGTTGTCCTTTTTTTTCAAAGTATTACCATTTAAAATGTAGGCTGTAAAGATGTTGAAAAATGAGCCTGTGAAGATGTGGAAAAGTGGGCTGAAAAATGAAAAATAAATGTGCTCAAGTGAAAACATATGGCAGGTACAAGTTATATGCAAACTTCATAATGAATTCTGAAAATATACTTGGACTGCAAATGCTTCTAGCCTGGATGGCACATATTAAGGATAACTCCTATGTGTTCTATGATGTTTGCCAGATCTAAAAGCACAGTTATGCTGGTGAACTTCATTAATCATTCAATACTCTGAGCATAATAATGGACAAGAGTGTTGGTAGTGTCAAGTAATTTTCTAAATTGTGCTTAACAGTTTCAAATGAGGTGTGGATGAACTGGCTGCAGTAACTAAAACACTAATTCTGAACCTGCATTCAAAGTAGTTTCAGAGATTTGTGGATGATCGCTTACCACTATATTTCGATTTTAAATAAGTCTTTCCACATCCATTTCACAAGATGATGTCTCTGTATAGGACTGGAAACAAAAGTGCCAAAATTAAATTTCTTTTTTCCTTCTGGCACAAACCAGACCAGGAATTACTGCAAGATTTCCAGGCTGCTATACCAGACCAGCGGCATTGTGCCAAGTCGGCACAATTACAGGAACACAACCTCTGACCATTCCCCTTGTGCACAGCACCCTGCCAGCCACACAGCATCACCTGGCCACCTCAACTTGGTTATAACGTCTCTTTCTGCTTTTTTCTTCAGAGCTTTGTCATCCGTGGTGGCTTTAGGAGCTAATATAATCTGCAACAAAATCCCAGGCCTGGCGCCTCGGCAGCGCGCGATCTGCCAGAGCCGCCCCGATGCCATCATCGTGATCGGGGAAGGGGCACAGATGGGAATCAATGAGTGCCAGTACCAGTTTCGGTACGGGAGGTGGAACTGCTCTGCGCTGGGAGAGAAAACAGTCTTTGGACAAGAGCTTCGAGTAGGTAAGGGTGTCTCTGCCACGGTGCTGTAGGGATTGGCTTTCTCTTAACATTTCCTGCCATGGTCCTGCAAAGTTTATAACCCTCAGAGCTCAGCAGTGGTGCTTCCAGGACAATTGTGCATTTCCACTCTGTGAAAAGTAACTGGCAAGAGACATGGAATCTCCAGTGATCTGTAGATGAAGTCGCTCATATCTGTGCAACTTCAGACCCAGCAATGGCCTCAGAGCCTGCACAGCCATCCAAGGTCACAGCCCATGAAAAGTGTTTCCAACTGTTGTCTTGTTACATGTTGTCATGATAACTGTGGTGAATATTATGGCCAATCAAAAATTAACTAAAAGCAACTCAGAAAAATCCCTCTGCAGACTTCCCAGAAGCTTAAGTAATGGGAGAGTCCCAAATAATTGATGGAAGTACTGTGCATGCAACACTGGCCTTCCAGTATGTGACAATGATACATTTTAGTGTTTCTATCATGCTGCAAAGAAAATACTGTGAATGATTTGAGGCAGGAAACATATTCAAAGAAAATAATACATGGCCTTGGCCTGACAAGCTGCTAGCTGGCAGAAGTTAAATCAATACCTTTTCATTTACCCTATGTCTGGTACTGTTTCACAGGGGAGATTATGTAAATTTTTTTTCAGCACTGAGGTCACTATTTTCCTCATCACCCAGATGGGTATCCTTAATTTATTCCTGACCTTTTCTCTCTCCCCCAAGGGCTGCCCACTCTCCTGTCTGCTGCTCTAGGTTGTAACATGTTGTACTGTGTGGCTCTCTCAAGGGCACTCAAAGTGATACCATTAAGCTTCTCAGTGGGGTTGTAGCCTATTTTTCTTGTATCCCACTTTTCTTTGGGTGATTCCTCTTACATTCAATGGTTTGGGTGAGTCTTGTGCTTCCAATACAGCTGAGAGTGGTCAGACATGAGATCTCATTAAAACTGTAAGAAAAAAGGCATAACATTTAATTTCATCTGTGCAAAGAGGTGTTGACTCACATGGTGCTTTGGTAGTTAGTGGTAGTCAAGGTGTCAGGGTATTTTTCTGATATCCTTGTGAAATGAACACCAAAAACTGAAGTATGTTTGGGTCAACAAGGGAACTGAATATTTATTGAAAGAACATCCAATTCTTAGAGTCTGGTTGAGGTCTGGGTGCTTTAAGGACACAGTGGTTCAGCTGTAAAGTGTTGTAAAGGAATAAATCCATTGGCATTGGGCAGTTGACTTAGATTTGCAGAGGGTCTGTCATATTCTGTGAGCTTTACATTACATTCTCAAGACATCATATTCAGGAATTAACCTAACTTTTGACTTCTACCTTCAAATTTAAATGAGCCAGAAAAAAGTCTAGTCACTGGTCTTGACTGTTAGAATCATGGTCTGGTTCTCCTTTCTCCTTGGCTGGTATTGTGTTTGTTTGCTTTCTGTTGGTAACCAGAATTATGTTGTTGTCAGAAAATATACATCTGCCAAGCATTCTGTACTTCTTCATGCTCTGTTTTCATCTGCCAAAGTTTGCAGGCATGCCCTGACCTTAGATAAGTGAGTTGTCTTGCCTTCTGTGAGATCCCTTACGGCCTGAGAAGGGCCACTCTGGAGGGTTGTACCAGAGTGGGTGACATCACAAAGCTTTCATTGAAAAGGCTTTCACCACTTCTGCTCTCCCCTTCAAGCTGAGAGATCTTGTGCTGCCTCACCACCTCCACCAGTGTGCTTGTGCATAGCAATCCTCTTCACCAGAGAGACTCCTTTCATCCTCCAAAACTTTGCAAGTGAGGGCAGTTCAAATGCCTAAAGAGGACAAGTTGTAGCTGTTCTTTCAGTCTCAATGTTTGTATGCAAAGTAAGAGCTACAAGGAACAGAAATTATTTGTCATTAGGATGGACCAGCTATCAGGCTGGTCAGACTGTACAAAGTTAGAAAAAAACCAGGGTTTTCTTGAGCCACTGTTCAAGCCTTATTTGCCAAAATGTTTACCATATTCTTGACCTCTTCACTGAAGCTGGGTGGTTTCTTGCAAGTCTGAAATGGCTGATGTGGAATTTGGTGGGTTCTTTTATGGGTTAACCCAACACAGATGAAACTTGGCTGTTGCAGCTGAGTTCTGCTTTGACATTTGTTGGGTGTGAAACCACACAGACTCTAACAGTTGCAGAAGGTTTACATGGCCCCTTCCAGCCGAGCCAGATCAGTTCCATGCAGGTCTATAAAGGATCCCATAATCCACAGCTCTTTATTTTTTTATTACTGGAGTAGCACCCAGAGATGATGAGGTCAGTACCTAGGAAAAGGATACGGTTTAGGAAGTGGTGTTATTACACTAGCAAGGGGGAAAAAGGTAAAAAATGGACAAAGACTTAAAAACCCAACTACTTCAAAGTACAAGATACTTCTAAGCACAATATTCACATGTGCAACAAAACACACCAGTGACTGACACAGAAACACTAAACCAGCCATTCAGTTCTTCCTGAACACACTGGAGAAAGGACTAAATAAGACAGGCATGTTTTTCACTTCACCCAAAGGAAAGCTTTGTCCCAGAACCCCCTGGGGAGATGAACACTGAAGGTGAGTTAATCAAGTCTCAGGGTAGGGAGGGAAAATAAGCAGTGATGACATATTAACCACTCTCTTGCTGCATGGGGAGGAGAGGACCAACTCTTTAGCCACTGAGCAAGACTCTACCACCACACTGACATGTACAGATTTATGGTTATTCTAATTTGTATTTTGATGCAACACTCCCCCTTCAAAACTCAAAGCAAACATTCAGACTCACCCAACATGAGGTTTCTCCTACAGATGTACATCTGTTTCTACCATCACCTCTTGGGTGCCTTTATGTTCTAACCATGCATGTTTTCCACCCACCACCAGGCCAGAAGACATGGCACAGGGACACATGCCCCCCCAGGTGATTTCTAGGGACCCTACTGTGCCAGGAGAAGTCCTCAGTTTATTGGCTAAACTCTAAGATGGATCAGTGAGAAGTTTTTTATTCAGAGGTACTTCAGTGAATGAGGGCTGCATCACCAATACAGGACATGGAATCTATATTAAAAACAATTGAAATAGTCCAGAAGATGGAATAGCAGTTGTAGAAATCATGGGGCATTCATGTTGGTGTGAAAGATTTATAGCAGGCAGACATAAAAGTGACAGAGAAATCTAAATTACTAGCATGAACAAAGGCTGTAGCATGGGATGAATTTGCCAAGTATTGTGTATGCATAGCTTATTTTGATATATTTATAGCTGGGAACTCTTCCACAGTCATGCCATCCCCAAAGAAAGTCAATCCTGCACTTACTTTGCTCATGCTGTCCTTGTACATTTTTGTATTTGACACTTTCCTGCATTCATCCCTAGCTTTAAGGTCAGCTTCTCACATACTCTTCTGTACTCTCCATTCATTCTTCTTGCTTTAAGCCTCTTTAAAGATTGCCTCTTAAGCAAATGAATTCAAAAATTAAAAATGAGATATTTTTAAACTAATTAAAAACCAATTATACATAAAATGTTATTACTGGTAATCATTGTTGAAAGATAATTGCCCTTCTAACATTTTGAAAGCAAGAATCCTGATCTGGAAGAGGAAAGCCTCTGGTCATGTCAGGTTATTGACACAAAAGAGCTCCAGCACTAGGTCTCTATTCCCCCAAACGATGGGCAGAGCAATTTGTCACTTACACGCCTCTGAAAGCTGCAGATCATTAATAGCATTGAAAGCAAAGAACTCCCCCAGGAAAAGTAAGCAGTGCAGGCTCTGTAGAATGAAGTCTGAATCAATAACATAAATGAAACCTACTGTTGTTCTTTGACAGTGGATTATTCTGGCTAATTATTTGTGCATTGACCCTTTCCACTGGAATCCTTTAAACTGAAGTGCTTATGAACAGGCAGCTCTTACCAGTGCTAAATCCAGGGCAAAACTGAGCTGTTCTAGTGTTTTGAAAAATATATCTGTCAAGATATCCAAAGTGATCTGTACCTGTCTCCTTTCAGGAGACAGGTATCCTTTCAGGATACCTGTCTCATGGTGTGGAAGATGAGCACAGGGCAAAACGGAGCTGTTCTGGTGTTCTGAAAAATATATCTGTCAAGATATCCAAAGCGATCTGTACCTGTCTCCTTTCTCAGACTCATGATGTGGAAAATGAGCATGGTTTAGCAGTATTTGGCTGTCTCACTGGTGCAGTGATTTGGAAAATCATTAAATTGGACACCTGACAGGGAAATATTAACAAGTAGGTCAAACCCAATGGAGTTCTGAAGTTTGGTGGTTTTTTTTTTGGTTTTTTTTTTTTTGTTTTGTTTTGTTTTGTTTGGTTTGGTTTTTTTGTTTTGTTTTGTTTTATTTGTTTGTTGGTTTTTGTTTTTGGGTATTTTTTTAATGTCTTACCCTTTGTTTTGATCTGTAATTTTCTGGTGTGTTGAAAGGATGCATCTGAAGAGAAGTTACAGCTCTGCTTGCCAGGGGAGGTCTAGGAGGAGAAGATCTTAAGAAGTTTCCTGTCTCTTCCCCTTCACTTATCTTTTGATCCACTCTCCAGGCAGAAATGGGGAGGGATAGGAGAAAAACCTACACTTTAAGCAGCAAACAAAATCTGTGCATGGATTTTATTAACTCCCAGGTGAAGAAGGCTTTTGGCAAACATGACCAGAACATAAACTTCAATGTCACAGTTCTCTACAAGCATGCACTTGTACACGTGCACACATAAACTGGGAAGAGGATGGCTAATTCCAAACAGAAGACTGGGAAAGGGAGGGGGACAACTTCTGAAGGGGAGATACTCATAAACAACGGTGATTCTTGCTCTCTTTGTACTGGAAACAGGTAACATTGTCAGTCCCCTCTTGATCCCCTGCTTCAGCTGCAGGCCTGAAGAAACATGGGAATTGGGCATGAAAGATATCTAAGTGATGGAGTCATGGAGGAGCAGTTGGCATCTTATCTTACATGCTGAGGGGGTGTCAGCCAGTAAA